CCAAATAAAATGGCTTGTGTCTTTTTAGGATTTTTGAAGGCTTCCAATTTGATTAATAAAATCTTATTAATGGAGGGAACCTTAGAGATCATCTCAGGAGGGAGGGAGACAGATGATATATACACAAAACTGACTGAAGCAGAACTTTATTAGGTTTGGTTTACTTCCCTGTGCCTTCAGTGGGCTGGGCCTCATGCTCCAGTCAGAGAGCAGCACAGCAGTTTTGAGAACAAGAATACAGACAGCTAGGATTTATATAGTAATTTATAGTTTACAAGAGCCATCCTGATTTTTTTTTTAGTTTATTTATTTATTTTAAGAGAGAGAGCAAGCGGGGAGGGGCAGAGAGAATCCCAAGCAGGCTCCTAGATATCAGTGCAGAGCCTGACACGGGGCTCCATCTCATAAAACGTGAAATCATGTCCCGAGCCAAAATTAAAAGAGTCAGACTGACTCTTACCTGAATGGGCTACCCAGGTGCCCCTAGCCGTCTTGATTTGTTGATATCCAAATCCTGTGTTCTTGCTGTTAGACCAGATGTTACAGAAAAAATGATAGCCTCCATACTGTCCCCTTACCCACACCAATCAGTTCTATCCACAGACTTCCCCATCTCAGGTCATGGCAAACTGTCTTACCAATTACACAAGCCAAACACATTGGACATGTCCTTAATTCATCTCCTTTTCTCACACTCCACATGTAATTTTATGAGAAAACTCCATTGGTTCCACCTTCGAAATATATCCAGATTCCATATATGGTGATATTTACAAATTATTGTTAATTTCTTGTGCGATAACTGAAAAGTTTTTCAGAGGTACACACTGAAGTATTTTTTTTAATATTTTTATTTATTTCTAGGAGAGAGAGAGAGAGAGAGAGAGAGAGAGCGCGTGAGCAGGGGAGGGTCAGAGAAAGAGGGAGACACAGACTCTAAATAGGCTCCAGGCTCTGAGCCGGCAGTCAGCACAGAGCCCGACGAGGGGCTCGAACCCACGAACCGCGAGATCATGACCTAAGTGAAAGTCGGACGCTTAACCGACTAAGCCACCCAGGCGCCCCACACTGAAGTATTTGCAGAAGAAATGACAAGCAACCTGGGATTTGCTTTAAAATAATCTAGTGAGTGAGGAAGATCAACAAAACAAGGTTGACCATATGCTAATAATGTTGAAGCTGGGTGATGGTTACATGGGGTTCATTACACTAGTTGCTCTACCTATGTGTACGTTTGACATTTTTCATAATAAATGTATAAAGGTACAGTATAGTATAGTATGGTATAGTGTGGTATCTGTCCTCTCCCCCTATCCTAAATAATATTAGACCATTTCTTTCTGTCTTTTGTTTTGAGAGAGGGTGCAAGTGAGCGAGGGGCAGAGAGAGGGAGAGAATCCAACAAAGGGAAGAGAGAGAGAGACAGAGAGAAGTGGGACTCATCTGAAGCAGGGCTCATGCTTACAAACCATGAGATCATGACCTGAACTGAAGTCAGATGCTTAACCAACTGAGCCACCCAGGAGCCCCTCACCGACTCCATTTTTATGTATGTAGTTTATATTATGAACATCTTCAAATACATAGAAAAGCCAAAAGAGTAGTACAATGATCACCATATAGATACCAGCTAGATTCAGTAATTAACATTTTGCCATATTTGCTTTATTTCTATATGTAGGCATACACACAGACACACACATTTCTCTGAACCCTTTGAAAGTAAGTTGGAAACATCATGACCTCAGGTTCCTAATGTCAAGAGATGGCAGGTGCCGGTTCTCAGGGGCTCCACCAAAGGAGTTAATTTCCATGTTACCTTGGGTATAAACTAGATACAAAGAGAGATGCTGTCTTTTCAGATAGAACTTTTCCACCCTGAATCAGGAGAATCCTCTCCTCTGCCCAGATTGTTGGGCTCAGAAAAGTCCCCAAACACAAAGATCAATCCTAAAGTTCAAAGAGAGAATGAAAAATAAAAAGGTTTGATGTGCTCAGGCTGGAGTTTATGGGTCGATTTTCTCTAGCATTTTGGATTTTGAGACTGTCATACTGTTTAAACAATACATAATAACAAAGAATGTTCCCAAGAGGCAACAGACATCACTTAGTAATAACAATAATAATAACAACAGAAAGCAGAAATTTTCCAAGAGCTAACTGCTTTTCAGTTTATCCCTGGGGCTTTCCTAGGGACATACTCATGTATTTTTCTTAGCTTTTCTAGCAACGGTGAACATGTGTAATCAGTGGTATGTTGGTAAATGTTTAACAATGAACTCTAAAAAAATGTGTACCTACAGGCACTGAGTGGCTCAGTTAAGCATCTGACTCTTGGTTTCGGCTGGGGTCTTGATCTTGGGGTTGTGGGTTCAGGCCCTGTGTTGGGTTCTGTGCTGGGTGTGGGCCTACTTAAGAAAAAAGTGTACCTATACATGTATATAGGTTTATTATAAGTTTTACTGATATAAAGGATGTATAACACAATTTACAAATAATAATGAAATAGGCAATATTCTTTATTGTGGTTTGCATATATGGCTATAGCCAGGTGGTTCTCTCAGAATGCTGTCATTGAATTTTGCCAAATTCTTATATTCATAGCAATCTGTTGTTATGGGGGCACCTGGCTAGCTCAGTTATGAAGAACAGTGTGTGACTGTTGCTCTTGGGGTTGTGAGTTAAGTTCCATGTTGGGTGTAGAGATTACTTAAATAAATAAAACTTAAAACATCTATGGTAATGGTTGCAATCGACAAAGAAATGTAGTTCTGACCCAAGTGTTGGTTGATACTTGTGTTTGCATTAACAAATAAGACAAAAGTGAAACAACAAAATCATACATAAGAACCTCACTCATTTGTCAATGATGCAAGCAACTTCTTTGCTGAATCAGATAATAGTTTTCAAATATGGAAAGAATAGCTCCTTAATTTTTTATACTGGTCACAATGTATTGGGTATAAGACACAACAAACTTCTAAGTTTAGTCTGCATGTTAGCAATTTCTCTGTCCCGTCCTTAACTGTAGACAATCAACAAGACAATTAATCAAGTCCTGATTGTAGTGTTTACCGATTTCTGTGGCTGATTTCAGACTACCACCGTGATGTCACCGCACAGGGATCTGGGAGAAGATGCACAGTAACGCACCATTATATAACATTTCCACCACATCTATACGATAGGCATAAATAACCTCAAGGACATATAGATAATAGTAAAATGTGGGGTGCCTGAGTGGCTCAGTTGGTTAAGCATCCTACTCCTGATTTTGGCTCAGGTCATGATCTCACAGTTCGTGAGCTGGAGCCCTCATGTTGGGCTCTGTGCTGATAGTGGGGAGCCTACTTGGGATACTCTCTTTGCCCCTCCCCTGCACTCTCTCTCTGTCTCGCTCTCTAAATAAATAAACACTGAAAAATAATAAAATGTAAAATAATTAGGAAGTAATGAGTGTTTAGTAGTTATTCATTATGTTTGCATTTTAAAAGTTTATTTATTTACTTTGAGAGAGAGAGAGAGAGAGAGAAAGAGTGCAAGCGTGGAAGGGGCAGAGAGAGGGAGAAATAGATCCGAAGCAGGCTGCACGCTGTCAGCACAGAGCCTGATGCGGGGATCGAACCCAGAAACTGTGAGATCATGACCTGGGCCGATATCAAGAGTCAGATGCTTGGGGCGCCTGGGTGGTTCAGTCTGTTAAGCGGCCAACTTCAGCTCAGGTCATGATCTCACAGTTCGTGGGTTCGAGCCCTGTGAGCCCTGCATTGGGCTCTGTGCTGACAGCTCAGAGCCTGGAGCCTGCTTCGGATTCTGGGTCTCCTTCTCTCTCTGACCTTCCCCTGCTCACGCTTTCTCTCGCTTTCTCAGAAATAAATAAAACATTTTTAAAAAAACCCTCTTGTTCAAACGCACTGCTTGTAGAATCAGGTCCAAATTCCTTGGGCTTTTTGCAAGCCCGCCTCACTGTGGTCTTAAGCTATTTTCTCAATAGGAGACACAGTAGTTCCCAATTCCCGGGACTCTAATCACAACTTCTTTCTTGGACATCAGACACTCATAGTCACCTGCCACCTGGACATCTCTTAGGTGGTCCCCAAACATCGCAAGCTCAGCATGTCCCAAATAGATTCCCACCTCCACAGTGCTTCTATTTCTGTAGTCCCTGATTTTCTCTTAGACCTTCAAATTTACACTGTTCCCATCTCTCTTCCTGTTCTTTTGACACTTTTTCTTCCAGGAGCATTTTTTCCCACACTCAGCCATACTTCAGGTCTCAGCTGAGATATTCCTTCCTCTGGGAAACTTCTGGGAAGGTTAGGAGCCCACAGCACACTGTTTCCCTGTTCTTCCCATTCTGGAATCTACTGTGGTGTATTAAAATGGTCTATTTAGGAGTTCCTGGCTGGCTCAGTCAGTGGAGCATGCAACTACTGATCTTGGGGTTGTGAGTTCAAACCCCACATTGAGTGTAGAGCTTACTTTAAAAAAATTGTCTAGGGGTACCTGGGTTGCTCAGTTGGTTAAGCATCGACTTCAGCTCAGGTCATGATATCACATCCATGGGTTCAAGCCCTGTGTCAGGCTCTGTGCTGACAGCTCAGAGCCTGGACTGCCAGCTCAGGGCCTGGAACGTACTTCAGATTCTGTGTGTGTCTCTCTCTCTCTGCCCCTCCCCTGCTCATGCTCTCTCTCTCTGTCTCAAAAATAAATAAACTAAAAAAATTTTTTAATTAAAAAAATTTTTTAAATGTCTATTTAATTGTCTGTGTCCCTTGTGAGTCTGTGAGGTCCATAAGGTTAATCTTGTTCTCCAACATAATCCCCACCATCTAGCCCAGTTACTGGCATGTTGTGGGTGCTAGATGAATGAATGAATGAACGAACAAACGAACGAATGAATGAATGAATGAATGAGAGGTATATCCTGCAGGTCCCCTATGAACCTTCCCCTGATTTGTTTCCTCACTGTTTCCCCAAGTACACTTTGTACTTTTTCACTTCCAAAAAAAAAAAAAAAAAAAGGAAGCCAAAGTTTTTGCTTGTGCTTAAGGGGACAAGGTCAGAAAATGTCACTTTCTGAAATCCGAACTAATAGAATCAACATTGAATAGATGAGAGCAGCCATCTGCAAAGTAATCCACCTTAAGGGTTGGTTTGTAAATGTGGTACCAATGAGACAAGGGTGCTTTTCAGGTCTCTATGGTGACCAGCATGTCGCCACAGGCTGGAGATCTGCCAAATATAAAGAAAACGATAATGTCAATCAGTTGTAATCTGATTGCTAAAGATAATGTTGTATAAGCAGGAGAGCCCTTGTCTACACAGGGTCTTGAAAAGACCTGAGCAACACATTTTCTGCACTCAATCATCATCAAGTGCTACCTGTAGCCATTTGCAATTTACAAAGCACCTCCATGTGTTACCTCAGTGCATCTCCATGATGACCCCGTCAAGTGGACCTTATTCATCATTTTATAGATGATATAAATGAAATGCAGGGAGGTGAATCAACTTGCCCTAAATCACCCACACACACACCCACACACACACTAACACACCTTCACTAGACCCAAAGAGCATGAGATGGTTATAAACCCAAGGAGAGAAATACCTCTCAGGCAGAGATAGAAAGTTCTTGCAGTGATGAGGTGTTCAGCCCACTCGATTTGGTTCATTCTGATTCTGTGCTCAGGTTGCGGCTTTTAGCTATGAAGAGGTTTGGCTCAGGGCTTTGGACCCCATGAAGGGAGTGCTGGAGGCAGGGGGCGGGGGGGAGGAAGTTGGGAGAGAATTACTACCAGACTCGTTTCTTGTTCATTCAGCAAACATTTGTTGGACAACTACTATGTGTCCAGAAGTGCTAAGAACATGTGATATAGTGGTAAATAAGACACAAAACTCCACACCAAGCTGATGGCCTAATTACAGTAGTCTAACGAGTAAATACAGAAGTCCCTCCTTATTTGTGGGAGATATGTTCCAAGACTCCCCCGCCAGTGGATGTCTGAAACCGCAGATAGTACTAAGCCTTATATATACTAAGTTTCTTCCTATATGTATCTACGATAAAGTTTAATTCATAAATAGACACAGTAAGAGATTAACAACAATTAATAAATAAAACAATCATAACAATACTCTGTAATAAATATTATGTCAATGTTGTCTGTCTCCAAAAATATCTTATTGCACTGTACTCACTCTTCTTGTGATGATGTGAGATGATAAAATGCCTACATGATGGCACGAAGTGAGGTGAATGATGTAAGCACTGTGACGTAGTGTTAGGCTACTTCTGATCTTCTGTTGCTATGTTGGAAAGAGGGCCATCTGCTTCTGGACCATGGTTGCCCTTGGGTAACTGAAACCACAAAAAGCAAAACTGCACATATACTTTAAAAACGCTATGATAGAAAAAGGAGCATGGGGTACTCTGGGGGCTCATCAAAGAGCCATCTACACTGGTCTCTGGGAGGGCCTGGAAAAGCTTCCCAGAAGAATTGGTGCCTTAGCTGATACTTGAAGGGATTTAGCAACACAAAAAGAGGTTGGAGGAATCAGGATGGGGAGAGAAAAACTGAACAGGAAGACAGGATGAGAACACTGGGGGGTGTGGGAATGTGTGACAACAAAAGGCAAGGGAAGAGCCGTGGGAGGAGTGGTAGTGAGAAGTGTGGCTGTAGAGATAATCAAAAAGCCAAATTAATATAAGAATGACCTCATAATAATAATGCATAGTACAATTTCCCAAGATCCATGATGTTATTAATCATGATTATTAATCATTCATTGATGAAATCAATACAAATGTATATGGCTGCTACCAATGACTTTATAATTCTAAGATCTGACTTGAAGTGAGTGATTAGAGCACCTCAGTGTGAGGCACAGAGCTCAGTATGCTACATGCACCCTCACAGCAATCCGCTGTGTGGGATCTGTTATTGTCCTACCGTGCTAGTGAAAATTGCAGGTCAGAGAGGTTAAGAGTGCACCAAAAGCCACATTGGCTGTCAGGTGGCTGCTTTGGCATCAGGACTGAGATTTAATATGGACTCCGGAGCCCATCCTGGGAACTGGCTTGCTCAATAGCAATCAAATGCGGGGTGCGTGGGTGGCTCAGTCAGTTGAGAATTGGACTCTTGATTTTGGCACAGGTCCTAATCTCACCGTTGGTGAGATCAGGCGCCAGAGTTGGGCTCCATGCTGACAGTGTGGAGCCTGCTTGGGATTCTCTCTTTCCCTCTCTCTCTCTGCCTCTCCAATGTTTGCTCTTTCTCTCTCAAAATGAATAAAATAAACTTAAAAAGAATAGCAATCAGATGTGTTTAGGAATTTTGACTTTAAGAGAAATACTCATCAAAGGGCACAGAGGAGACACCCAGATTTTGTTTTAAAACACTCATCCTAGGGGCACCTGGGTGGCTCAGTCGGTTAAGTGTCCGACTTCAGCTTAGGTCATGATCTCACAGTTTGTGGGTTTGAGCCCCACATTGAGCTCTCTGCTGTTAGCAGAGAGCTGGCTTTGGATCCTCTGTCTCCTTCTCTCTCTGCCCCTCCATTACTCATTCTCTCTCTCTCTCTCTCTCAAAATAAATGTTACCAAAAATAAAAAAATTAAAAAAAAAAAACCTCACCCTAGCTGCGTGGTGAAGGATGAACTGGAAGGAGGAGAATAGAGGAAGAGAGGGCAAGGGAAGCCTTTTGCCTTTTACTTCATCTCTCAGATGGTTGTGGTTTGGACTAGGTAGGTAGCAGTGGGAATGGAGAGAAGGAGTATATTCACGAGATATGTAGGAGGTAACTTTGACAGCCCTGGTTCTTGATAGGATATGCGAATTGAGGGCAAAAACAAACAAACAAACAAACAAAAAAACCCAAAAGGCAAAAAACAAAAAACAAACCCTTCAGGATGACTCTCGGGGTTCTGGCTTAAACAAATGGATAAATGGTGGAGCCGGTCCTCAAGAAGAGGAACACAGAAGGAGGAGAAGGTTCTGAGGAAGAAGACACCCACTGAGTTCACACTGCAGGTGAAGCGCAAGGTCCATGAGAGAGATACTAAGCTGGAGAGATGGTTCTAGAATTCTGAGTAGAGATCTGGACCAGTCATCAAGATAAAGAAGGTGATCCAGTCGTGGAGGGATGAGGTCTCCTAGGTGTGCAGAGTGAGAAGGGCAAGGGTGGATGCACACTACAGGTTGAGGGAGGACGAGTAAAAAGTGTCTGTAAGGCACTGCAAAGGGTCTGCTTGCTTTTGTTTAATGTTTATTTTGTGCGTTTATTTTTTGAATGTTTTATTTATTTTTGAGAGAGAGAGAGTGCAGGGGAGGGGCAGAGAGAGAGGGAGACACAGAATCTGAAGAGGCTCCAGGGTCCTTGCTGTCAGCACAGAACCCATGCAGGGTTCGAACCCAGGAACCACGAGATCATGACCTGAGCCAAAATCAGATGCTTAACCAACTGAGCCACCCAGGAGCCGCTATTTTATTTATTTTTGAGAGAGAAAGAGAGAGCGTGAGCGAGGCAGAGACAGAGGGAGACAGAGGATCTAAGTGAGCTCTATGCTGACAGCAGTGAGCCCAATACAGGGCTCGAATTCATGAACCACGAGCTCATGACCTGAGCCAAAGTCAGAGGCTCAACCCACTGAGCCACCCAGGTGCCCAGGTCTGCTTGCTCTTATGGGAGGAGAAAGCTAATAGGCCTGAGACTGAGTTGAGACTTCAACTTTATGAATAGAAAAGACATGTGGAAGGTATTTAGTTCAATCCTCTCACTTGGAGATGCCTCCCCAAAGAGGGGCACTGGGCAGCACCACTGCCAGTTTGAACACTCTTGTAATTTTCAGTAAGGATGAGGGCTTGGGGCTGCCTCTCTACCCATGAAGAGGGCTGCTGAGAGCCAATCCCACTGTCTCAACCTATGCCCATTCCCCTTGGAATACGAGGATCTCACAGGGTTTGATCCAACAGTTTGAAGAGACAGTATAACATCGTGATTAAGCATATGGCCTTTGCGGCAAGGTTGCCTGTTTTCAAAACCTCCACCGACTTTTGCCGTCTGTTTGACATTGGGCAAGTCATTCATTCCCCTGATTCTTACCTTTTCCATCTGTAAGAAAGGGGGTAATAATTATACCAACCTCACGGGGTTTATTTTGAGGATAAAATGAACTAGAACATTCCCTGGCAGGTAGTAAACTCTATTGAATGTTAGCTGATCCTGGCCAACAAGAATGTGTCTGACCTATTACAGTTTCCAAATCCATATTCTCCAGGGTCCAATTGCTCAATAAAAATGCTTAGAGCATTAAAAAAGCAGGAACACCAGCAAAACTGTTTGGGAAAGGAATAGGATAGTTGATATTTCAAAGGACTCCATCAAAGTAGTCATCACAGGAAAAATCAGAACTTGGTTGGACTTTCTTTCCCTTTTTACAGTTTGGTATAATTTTTACTCTGAATCACCTAATGATGGTGGTAGCATTGAGTATAGAGCTGGGGGTGGGGGGGGGTCAATCCATGTCTTTTTAGTACTTGAAGCCTCTGAGTCACAGTCTCAGATAATTCCATTTGAGCCTTTCATCAAGCCTGAAAAGGAGATGTCATTTATATCTTCCTTTGTAGAGGTGGAAAATAAGGCTCAGAGAGATCAAGAACAGACGTGGGACTGGAGCGGAACCCAGGCAGATGATGTCAGAGCCCCCCATGAAGTGGGGGCTTGATTGGTTCATGGTCCTGGAGTAGGGATTCATGGCCATGGGCCAATTTATCCCATGTAAGAGGAATTGGTGCTTTTGTGCAAGAAGTAAAGCAGTGAGGGGGCCCTACTGGCAGGCCCCAGGCTGGGGCAATTTGGGCCAGAAGGCAAAGATGGCTCCCGAGGACTTTTGGAAAGGCCCCTCCTTGGGGGCCATATGTTTGCAATCACTGTGTGTATGGCCAGAGTCAGCGGGGCTGGGCGTGGGGAGGGGGTTGTCTTGGCCGGTGGCCAAGCCAGATGTTTACTGTGTGCCTCCACATAGCATGGAGCTCAGTAACTCCTTGCCATGCTGGGAATTTGTATGCCATAGTTATGACCAACTTTATCCCATAACTGAGAAGGTTTCAAAGGTCCTCTGGGCAGGCCCAAGGCAGAACCAGGGAGGTGGGAGATTAGCCTCCCATCCCCTCACACCTCCCTGTTGGGGCCCCTTTCTTTGCACATGACTTTATTTCCTCTACCCTCTCTCCATGCCCAAGTACTTCCTGTACCTCTGAAGCTTTCCCCACCCCAGGACTTCCACTAAGGCCTGCCTGGCCATTGGGTTCATTTCCCCCTGCTGTTGTAAAGGATGAGTCCCTTTGCCCCCATTTTTTTAAGTAACTCGGACTAGAACTCACAGTCCTGAGATCAAGAGTCTACTCTTGATCAAGAGCATGCTCTACTGGCTGAGCCAGCCAGACACCCCAGCCCTTTTCCACCTAACAACACCCCAGTCATCTTTACAATCCCCCATCTTGGCTCTTCTCTGAAGCTTCTCCAAATTCCTCAGAAAGGGAAGGACAAGGAGGCAAGTGCTCACTGTGTACCTACTCTGTGCCAACTGTGGAACCTAGGGTTTTACATACCTCACCTCATTAAATCTTCACAACAGCCCTGTAAATTTCTACAGGTGAGGGAACCTGGGTCCAGAGATGGCAAGCAACTTGCCCAGGGTCACACAGCTGATAAGGGCAGGAGTGTAGCTCAGTTTAACTCTTGAGTCCCTATGAACTTGAACTCTTTCCAGTTCACACCACAATGCCTGTCCCAAGACATGTTCCCTCTTGATCACCTTCAGCTCTTCTCTTCTCATCCCACCACATGTCCAATCCATCAGCAAATCTCATTGGCTCTACCTTCAAAGTATATCCAGAATCCATAATTTCTCACCATCTCCACAGGGGCCACCCTGGTCTAAGTTTCCATCATGTTTCACCCAGCTTACTGCAATAGTACCCTAAATGCTCCTTTGCCCCTAGTAGGGCACTTGCTTCACCCTTGGCCCTTACCACGTTTCCCACACATGGTCTCTTCATCACACAGAAGCCAGATGGATCCCAATGAAACACGTTGGGGGCGCCTGAGTGGCTCAGTTTATATCTGGATCTCGGCTCAGGTTATGATCTCACAGTTTGTGAGTTTAAGCCCCATGTCTGGTTCCACCCTGACCTCTCTCTCTCCCAAATAAACAAAAAAACCTAAAAAAATAA